ATATGTTTGGCTTTTTGGCAATTCCCCCCGGACGGGGGTTTGATTGCCGAAAAGCCGGACATGTCCGGGAAAAACCGGACGTATGGTAACCCTAGGTTCTGAGTTACTACAGAGAATTCTTTCCCAGGTTTCTGGCTATGGGGTCTTGCCCACATATTCAGGGTCTGACTGATCACCAAATTTAGGGTCGGGAAGGAATTTCCCCCCCGGGTCAGATTGGCAGAGACCCTGGGGGGGGTTTCGCCTTCTCCTGCAGCGTGGGGCGCGTGTCACTTGCAGGTTTAAACGGTGAATTCTCTGTAACTTGAAGTCATTGAGACTTCAGTGACTCACCCAGAACTCAGGGGTCTCTTGCAGGAGTGGGTGGGTGAGGTTCTGTGGCCTGTGATGTGCAGGGGGTCTGGGGGTCTGGGGCTCCTTTCCAGAGTCACTCAGGGCCGTCCGCCTCACACAGCCCGGGATCCAGTTTGAACCTTGCGGGAGAGCTCACATTAACGCTGTATCGATCTGGTCTTCCAGCGCAGCGAAAGCAGGTTTCCAGTAACGTCTCGGTAGACACCGTCTCCTCTGGCCACATTAGCCACAGAGGACACAGCGCCGGCGTCTCTGCAGGAGAGCGGTGGGAATGTGGTGTGTATTTCGCGGGGAGGCTGAGTGCTTGGCAGCCGGCTGACAGGGCCCTTAGCTCATTGTTTGAGCGTTGAAGCCATTTGTGCTTAATGGGAGCCATTAGCTCGCTCTCCCGCCCCGAGCGAACCGTTGATCTCCTTTGTTCTTTTCTCCCCGTGCAGAGCTCGGGCACACCCAGGGGCCGCTGGACGGGAGCCTCTATGCCAAGGTGAAGAAGAAAGACTCCCTCCACGGCAGCACCGGCGCCGTCAACGCCAGCCGCGCCCCCCTCTCCGCGGCGCCCAACCACCTCGAGCACACGCTCTCCGTCAGCAGCGACTCGGGCAACTCCACCGCTACCGACAAGACTGACGAGCAGGCGGCGCCCAGCGGCGGCCCCCCGGCGCTGACCCCCGAGGAGAAGCGAGAGCTCGAGCACCTCTTGAGCGGCTTCGGCTTGGAGAGCGAAGCCCCCATGCACAACCGCCACCCCGGGGCGGCGCCGGCCGGCGGCTCCGCCCTCACGGGGCGCCATGTGGTGCCGGCCCAGGTGCACGTCAACGGGAGCGCCGCCGCCCTGGTGGCCGAGCGGGAGACGGACATCCTGGACGACGACCTGCCCAACCAGGACGGGCACAGCGTTGGCAGCCTGGGCACCCTCTCCTCCTGCGACGGCACCACCAACGCCAGCGAGGTCGGCTACCAGGAGGTGCCCCGGATGGAGAGCCTCTCCTCCCTGCCCAACGGCCCGTCCAGCTTCGACGGCGCGGACAAGCTGCACAAGGAGGGGCTGTATGACTCGGAGCCGCTGATCAATGGGGGGTACCCCTACAACAACCAGAATACGCTGCGGAGCATGATGGGGCGACACCCCCAGCCCCCGCTGAGCCAGATCCGGCCCTCGGTGTCTGCTCAGGAGAATCTGTCCGACTACCGGCAGCAGCCACCCGGCTTCTCTGAGCCCGGCTGGCTGCTGCCCCGGCCGCCGGCCGCCACGCAGCCCTACCTGTACGGCTTTGACTCCAACGACATGTACCGCTCTCAGTCCTACCCAGCCGCCGAGCCGGGCCTCCAGCTCCCCCAGGCGCCGGCTCGGAGCACCAGCAGCCGGGAGGCCGTGCAGAGGGGCCTCAACGCCTGGCAGCAGCAGGGCGGCAGCAGCGGCGGGAGCAGGCCCTCCTCCCGCCAGCAAGACGGCGGCCTGGAAAGCCAAAGCCCTAGCGTCTCCAGTTCGAGCCCCCAGCCCAGCCCCTTGCAGGTGGCCCCCCCTCCGAGCCACAGCATCCCTGAGTTCCCCCAGGTGGCCTCCCCGAAGGAGATCGAGCAGTCGATAGAAGCACTGAACATGCTCATGCTGGACCTGGACCCGTCCGTCTCGACGATGCACAAGTCCCAGAGCGTCCCCGTGGCCTCCACAGAGGACCAGCCCGGCCCAGTGGTCTCCTCTCTGTCTGCCCAGCCAGTGTCGGGCCTTCCTAGCCAGGCGGCCCCTCAGGTGACCCAGCCGAGACCCAGCAACGCCTTCGGAGCCATGTCCCACAACGCCATGGGCACTGCTGTCACCCAGCCCGCACCGGCTTCTGAACCGCTGGCCAAAGCCTATCTGCCAGGAGTGCCGGGCCGGGGCGCTGGCGAGCCAGAATACATGGGGCAGGATTTTGGGGTGTCCTACTCACCCTACGGCTATCAGAACCAGCAGCCACCTGTGCCGCAGACAAGGAGCTGCAGCCGCCCCCCGGGAAGCCCCCCAGCCTCTCCCATCTCTCTGGCAACAGCTTACAGCCCTGTGAGGCCTCAGCAGCCCCTGATCATGTCGCCCCCATCCCCCACAGCGACAGCCCAAGCCCAGATGCCCCCGAAGGGAGCGGAGCATCACCACGAGCCTGCCAGACCCTCGGAAGAAGAGCCCTTGAACCTGGAAGGGCTGGTGGCCCACAGAGTAGCAGGTAAGAGGCTTTGATTTGCGGTGCCACCTCTGGCTGGCCGTCACCCCAGGGCCAGGCTGCGTTTGTCCTAGACTGTTGGGTGAGGGCGGGTTACGGGAGCCCCTTCTGCAGAGAGCAGGCGGGGGGCCTGCGTGCCCAGCTCTTGCGGCTGGGTCCACAAGCAGAATGGAGCCACAAACGCATCCACGAGGCTCCGGCTGTGTGGGAGTCCCACTGGGATGGAGACGCCCATGCCCCATGGCCCAGCCTGACTCCAGGCTTCCCTGGAAACCAGGCCCTCTAGGCCCCTAACATACCAGGGGAATCCTCTCCATCCTCGCTCTTGGAAAGAGGCAGCCCGGCCCACCTCCGCAGCGAGCGGTGCCCAGGAGAGGAGAATCGGGGCATGTCCCTGGGGACAGGGTCGGGCCCGGGAAGCACGCCCAGGGGGCCAGAGGGAGAAAGGGGTGGGAGTTGTGGGAAGGGCGAGATGAAACGCAGATGCACAGGACAGAGAGCGCTCAGGGAAGCGTTGAACATCCCACATCCCATTCCCAGAAGCCCCTCTCCGTGCAAATAGGGTTGTGACTGGAGGGGAGCCGTCTCCCACGCGGCCTCGCTGGCCAGGCGCGATCACTGCCCTGCCGCTGGGCAGTGACCAGCTGGTGAGGCGGGGGACAGCGTGAGCAGCGCGGCTGAGCTCAGGGCTAGGGAGCGGACTTCTCTGTGGCTGCGTTAGTTACTCCATGCGCCCAGCTGCACGGGAAAGAGGACCTGGCAGCCTTTGGCAGGAGAGCCTGCTCTGGTGAGATGTCCAGTCTGGCTTCGCCTTCCCGAGAGCTCTGGCTGGATCAGCGCTGGCGGTTCCGGGTGCTCCAGACTGCCCTGCTGCCCTGTTGGCTGGCGAGCGGTGGGGGCTGGGGCTGGCTCCAGGACCGGAGCGGCATGCAGAGGTGTGTCGTGGCTGCAGACGATGATCTCTTCCAGCTGTCCTCCTGCTCCCTCTGCTGCTCCTCTCTGCAGCCAAAGGGATATTGCCCCTGCTTCCTGAGCGGGGAGCTGCTGGGAGCAGACTGATCAGTCTGGCCTGGGAGCAGGAAGGAGGCAGGAGAAAAGAGGAGAGGCCAGCACCTTGTAAAAGCAGAGAACAGTGCGTTAGCCCCACTGCCCCCGGTGATGGATTTTCAAAGGGGTTCAGGAGCCAGGTTTTGCCAGGAGGGTGCATGGCTCCGATGTGGGAGGCCTAGCCGTAGCTCCATTGGGAGACGTTGGTTGGAATGACCGGGCTGGACTCCACTTTAGATACCCAGCGATAGCCCCTAGCGCCCAAAGCAGGCATGCTCATTGTGGGACCTTCCTGCTTGTGCTAGGTGCTGTACTTACGTGGCCTCCATTATCACAGACTCTGAGTACCCCACGATCTTGAGGGTATTTATCCTCCCAATCCCCCTTTACGGCAGGGCAGTGCCGTCACACCCAGTGTACAGATGGGGAACAGAGACACAGAGAGGATAAGTGACTTGCCCAAGGCCGCATAGAGAGTCTGTAGCGGAGCAGGAAATTGACCCCCTCGTCTCCAGGTCACAGGTCAGCAGCCTAGCCATTGTCCAAAGCCCGCTCACTAGGACTGCTGGGCTTGTAAGTTACAGTCCCTGCCCCATGCTCCAGTGCCCTGGCTTTCCTTTCTTAGCCCTACAGCCACAGACATGGGAGGAGCTGTGATGTTCTGAGCACGCTGGCTCTGTTCTGAACAGGCAGGAGAATAGAAAGTGTCACACTCCTCTGAAGCACTTCCCGTAGACATGCCCCCTTGAATCTGTTGTCAAACTGTCCATTCCTCCTCGGAGCTTGGATCTGCGCTGGGGAAACAAACTGGATGACGGGGGGCTTATTTAGAACCGTGTCTGTCATTGATCCTGATGCTTCAGGGCATATGGCCCCCAGTTGGGGTCAGGAGGTAACTTCCCCATGGGATAGTGCGGCACAGTTAGGTGCAATGTAGGTCATTGACCAGTGGGACCATTCCAGCGAGGCATTTTTACCGTGCACAGGGTGCATGGACGGACTAGTGAATTGGCCTCATCTCTTTGGGACTCCGGTTGCCCCTGGACTAACTTCAGAGCTCAGGCCCCAGCCTGAGTCTGGAAGCAGGAAGCCAAGTCCCCCTTGGCCCGACGGGCCTGAGGAATAAATCTTTGGCTTCGGGGCATGCACAGTGCCTGGCTCCGTCAGCGCACGGTGGGGAATGGAGCGGCCGCCCTGCCTTCCTCTCCGTGATTGCAGCGCAGGTTTTTCATTGCCCGTCCGTGGGAATGCCGGGGCCGCGATCCAGCCTGCAGTTCCAGGGCTTGGCAGGGCGGGGTTTGTTCCAGCCAGCGTCTCGGCCTAGAAACACGAAAGGTATTCGAGGGAGAGAACAGCGCTCAGTTGCAAAACACCTCCCCCCACCCCCACCCCTGCACACCCAGGCTGAGTTGCTGCTCTCTGCGGAAGGAGGGAACCAGGTCCTGGCAGGTTGGTGCCAGTGCGGATTGTGAGGAAAACTGGCTGCTGGATTGGAGGGAAAGGGGCCCCTGAAGCTGTCATGCTTAGCATCACGCCCTGAGAAATGGGCTTGGGTTACCCCTGCTCAAGGACTCAGTGACTAACCCTTTAATGCCCTGAGAATACCCCTCCCCCATCACAGACCCCCTCCCCCTTCATCCCACTCCAAGCTACAGGGAAATCATTGTGCGAAAACTGGTTATGAAGAGATTTTTAAAAAAACCAAAACCAACCCTGGCGTCTGTGATAATTTCTGCAGCCCCTTACATCCCAGAGCCTTTCATAGAATCATAGAATAGCAGGGTTGGAAGGGACCTCAGGAGGTATCTAGTCCAACCCCCTGCTCAAAGCAGGACCAATTCCCAACTAAATCATCCCAGCCAGGGCTTTGTCAAGCCTGACCTTAAACACCTCTAAGGATGGAGATTCTACCACCTCCCTAGGTAACGCATTCCAGTGCTTCACCACCCTCCTAGTGAAACAGTTTTTCCTAATATCCAACCTAAACCTCCCCAACTGCAACTTGAGACCATTGCTCCTTGTTCTGTCATCTGCTACCACTGAGAACAGTCTAGACCCATCCTCTTTGGAACCCCCTGTCAGGTAGTTGAAAGCAGCTATCAAATCCCCCCTCACTCTTCTCTTCTGCAGACTAAACAATCCCAGTTCCCTCAGCCTCTCCTCATAAGTCATGTGCTCCAGCCCCCTAATCATTTTTGTTGCCCTCCGCTGGACTCTTTCCAATTTTTCCACATCCTTCTTGTAGTGTGGGGCCCAAAACTGGACACAGTACTCCAGATGAGG